TGGTCTAATTTGAAGGAATTGAGTAAAGGAGAAGTTAACCTTTGTTTCTGTGTATCCTCACAGACTTCGCCGTCTAGAGATGCCTCCTTTCCATATAAAACTCAGTTACCATGTATGGTGCCAGCCTCCGCTTTCAGCAGTAGTGAGTGCAGTGCAGAATCTAAAATACTAGATTATGTGCAAGAGCTGGACTCTTCCTTCCATCCAGTCTTATCATTCCCTTCAGGTAAGTAACTCAAATGCAGTGCCTCTAACAGAGGGTGGTTGTGCTTGTGAGAGCTGTAGAGTTTATGGACTAACTTTTCTTTTGAGTGATTTTTAGAACTTAGTTCTCTTAGAGAAAACCTCACACTGGCAAAATATGTGAGTTTAGACTAAATGAAAATCTTAACTTCATCCTGACATTTGAAAAATACACCTTCTAGATTTCCCATATCAGTAACGTGATTACAACCAAGAAAAACTGGTCAGGGGAACATTTTTGGTTAAGGTGGTTTTTGCGTGTTTCGTGGTATGTCTAATTGAGTCAGCGTTAGTCCTTTAGACGATGCTTTTGCCAACACACTGCCAACACACTACCATACCTTGGTTGTGTTGTTTTCATGAGCAACTTTCAGTTCAGGCCCTTTGGACTAGGTCCAAAAAGCTTTATTTAGTTTTTCTAATTGTTTTTGTGGTAGTCAGCCTTTTTGGTGATCTTTGAAGTTTATGGTTTCTGTCATCTGATTCTTTAATCTTTTTGAACAATAATGCAGATGTTTTTTCTGACTCTTAATAGCCCTGAAACTAGTGCAGGTGCAACTTGACAGCACTTCGTGCTTCAAAATAGCATATTCGGTGCTGTTAACAGCCGAAGGGATTCGATACCAGCAGATACTACTGGATTTGGGTGTGGGGGTTTTTTTTATTATTATTTTAGGAAAAACCTATTGTCAGGTAGTTGCTGACCAGTACAGGAATTCTGCTGTTCTGGGGGGCTGCTTTGCCGCAAAATAATCCTGAACGTGAGGCTGGGACTTCCATGGAACTGCTTGAGTCTTTAATCAAACCCACTGCCTTCCCAGAATGACAGTGTATACACTCCAGCCTGGTATTAGGAAGTCAAGGATTAACGTAAGTCTTGGGTTTGGAGAACTTGTCACTGGCCAGTAGAGGAGACCCAAGTGTGGACATGGAATCCTGAGAAGGTCTCAAGTCTTGCAGGTTTACGAGGGTTTACATCCCATGTATGGGATAGAGGAGTTTATTTTGAGGAGCATATAGGGGGAAGAAAACACTCACTCCAGGAGTGCAACAGCAAACATCCCAGTCAGCAGGGACTCTCTGGAGAGGAGAGAAAAACACTTTTTAAATCTTTCTTCTTTACACACGCTCTCCATCACTTAACCTTGTGACTCTGACAGCCCAGCTGGACAGGAGCCAGGGGTGTTAGACGGTAGTTCCCAAATCCCTGCAGAGAGCTGTCCCCACACACTTCCTGGGTGACTGCCAGCTTGTGTCACTAATCAGATTGTTTCCTTGCTTCTGCTTCTATGCATGGTTCACTGTACCACAGGGTATATGTTTTGGGGTGGGTTTTTTAAGTGTTTCTTTAGAAGTCTGTTCAAAGATGGTCATATAAGGCCATGACCCTTCCATTTATTCCTATCTTACCTTGAAGAGAGACTAGGAAGTTTAACAAGAATATTGAAATATTCTTCCTTGAAAACAGACTAATCATCATGAAAAGAAAAAAATGAAAGGCTCTGATTGCATCATGGCTACTGTTGGTCACTTTGCCAGGATGGAGGAAGAAAAATATTATTTTAGCTTCATTCCGATACCAAAAACATCTCTCTTTTGAGGAATATTTATTCTCTTTCAAGCAGCCTTAGCCTTGCTAATAATAGTTGAGACAGGAGAAAAGTGCTAGACCTATGATCCTCCTGCTCAGATGCAGTCCTTGTTTTTGAGGGAGGCTAGTCTGTGCTTTGTGTACTTTGCTGTCTCTACCTCCTCATGAAGACCACTAGTCTATTTGTCATTTTCTTTCATATGAAAGAATAAAAGCATGCTAGAAATTTTCCAACTTGGTAAGGTAGCCTGATTCAGTTTCATGTTTTCTTTGCAGCTTCCTTAATTATCCCTTTCCAGAGGGATAACTTCTCTTAAAATACTACTTGTGGTGTGCCCACATCTTTTACCACTTTCTTCTGAATAAAAAAAAGTTTTTCAGCAGTGTAGAAGAAAAGGTTCTTGGTTTCATTTCCTCTGTTTTTTAAAAAATATTATTGCTATTTGTTCCATTTTGAAACTCTGGGAGTCTGATATTTCAGTGTGCGAGGAGGGATTCAAATTCAAGATTCAGATCTTGTTCTCTCTTGTACCTATTTTTTACTTTCAAAGGAGTATCATAATTTGCAAGCAACGTAGTAATGTAGTGCAGTGGGACTGGCTCACTAGTGTACAGGCTTCTGGAAGTATAATTGTCCTTATGGTTCTAAGTCTTGCCTTCAGAGTTTCCATATTACCAAGGGTCTTGACCAGAAGTATGTCAGTGGTTGCAGCATCCCTTGAGCATAAAAGCGCCTCTTTAAACTTGCACCCCGATAACTGCAAAATTGTAGTTTGCATCTAAGAAGTTTGGGTTTCTGGTATTTCTGTACGTAGCCTGCGGATAAACTGGAACAAACGCTCCTGCCCTTTTAATTAAGATACAGGAGCACATAAGAAAAAAAATCTGAGACATCCAGGTGATTCCCTAGGAAAAGAACAGGAGAAATGTTTTGTTTATTTCTTTACTTAAATGTTGTGACTAATAAACCTTTCAGACCTACTTTATGTTTTGCTCAGTAGAATAGGAAACACAGCAAAAACCTTGGGGGGAAACAACCTTTTACAGGTCGCCTTTAGTCTTGTGAAAAAATATCTAGTTAGATCTGGATCAAATTGAAATAAATTATTCTTTTTAGTTAGCAAAATATGTTGAAAGTTTCTGTCCAGGCAAGTCCTGAAGGCACATGAGGCAATGAGGCCAAGGTTGTATGTAAATAAAAATAGTTTAATGCCCACCCTTTGGCCCTGCCCTCAGACCTCTTCTCATTCTGAACATAATAGTCGTCAAGCCTGCTTCTCATGTTGACGTATTTCTTTCTACTTAATTTCTCTTCTTTCTTGTAATGTTGTTTCCGGAAAGGCTTTTCAGACAGAGACCTATTTTTCTTAAGCCTTCCTGCCTTACAACAGTGGGTAAATTCCTTTACCACTTGAGATGTTTTGCAGACTAATTTCTTGGTTAGAACTCCCTCGGGAAATGAATTACATTGCCCTGCCGTAGCCTTTGCCAGAGAGAGAAAGAAGGAATGTACCTTGAAATTACCTCTAGGCTCCCAGCGGTAACGATTTCCAAAAGCATTAATTACCTGTACGCAAAAGGTTGAACTGAAGGCTTTTCAGATTACAGGAAAAGTGCACTGTGTGCTCTGCACCATGCAGAGTTTTGTGCAGGAGTTAGTCAAGAAGGGAAGACCCCAGTCTTACTCTCACTTGATACCCTCCAGAGTTTGTTTTTGTGAATAACAATTCTGGAGTAATTGCAGGTACAGACATAGTTTATTCCAGAGTAAGACAACCTCGCTCTTTCTTACTTTGACTTTGAACACCAAAAAAAGTGTGTTTAATCTACTAAGTGTGTGTGCCTGAACTGGGATTTGTTCAGGAGCATTCCTTAGGTTTGAGTTCTACCTTGATCTGAGTTGTCTTGTCAGCCCTTAGAAGCTCTTAGTGCTGGAGAGCTTGGAACCACTTAAGCTTACTGCCTTGGTCAGCACATATGGCAGTGTAGCTTCACAGCCAAAAATGGACTTATTTTTACCATGGCATAATTCTCACTTCCTGTTAATAGAAAGATAGGTACCTCGAGATCTTACCTCCAGGCAATTACTGGAGATTATCTAGTATACTACTTAGATAACTGATAGAAAAGACTACAGGTCTTTGCCTAGGGTGGAGGATAGCACTCGTACAATAACTATCTTGCTGAGAATTACCTTGCCTCAAATTTTCTTATTTACTCATGCAAAAATCACTTCTTTGAAATGTCTGGCTGGGCTTTTTTGGGATATTGTCATCAAGTTTTCCTTTGGCTCTCACCAGTTTCAGGACGTGTTTTCCTATATTGTCTTCAGCTTGACTGTGTGAAGACACTGCTGCTATATAGACAAGCGATTGGTCCTCGCAGGAGTTACTCAGCACTGCTGCTCTTCATGAGTTGAAGGACTCAAGGCAGCAATATTGCTCGTAGATTATAATACATAGTGTTGTGTAATCGATTCCTAGACCTTTAGTGATAATGCATAATTCATTGGCTCATAGGTTGCCATCTTTCTGATATAGACTGCATTCCCTTTGGATTTCTTTTTTTTATTAGATATTCCTCTTCACATATACTTTGAAACATTATTAAGGAAGGATGACATCAAAGGAGAACCTGTTGATACCTCATCTTTAGGAGTGGAGTTTAAAGTATCTCCAGACAATGGTATGTAAAGCAAAACATTTTAATATTTGCAAGACCGTTTCTCATTCATTTGCCAGTACTTTCTGCCCTGGAGAGGTTCAATTTATAAACTTACCACAAAGCAGGTTATCAGAGAAGGCAACCAGCTAGGGCTTTACGTGGCAGAGGAATCTCTTCCCAGACCGCAGTGTCAGGTTCTCCTTTGTTGCACTGAAATGATCCAATCAGAGCCGCAGGAGGGCAGCAATGCAAGTGGGGGGGGCGTTTGGACTGTGGGTTCTCTGCAGACACAGGTGCCTGACTGCAGTACTGTTTACTATTTGGATTCCTATCCAGAAGTCTGTTTTTTTCCATTATAAATAGTTCAGCAGTTGAGATTGCCTGTAAATTGCACCAATGGAAAATAAGTTTTCAACTCGATACATGCTTTTTCTGTTGTTAGACTATAATCAACATAACGTTTCTGTCAAACAATGGAGCAGTGGCTGTTTATCTAATTCCAAATCTCAGTCGGTGTCAGGAACATCTGACCAGCTGTCAGAAGGAAGAAAGAAAAGACATCTAAGTGAGACAGCAGTAGGTAAGAGAAAAATGGTATTGTTTAAGATGGCACTACTTCTTCAAAAATATGTATTGTATAAATTAGTTTGTTATCACTGGGCTTTGAGAATGAATTTTAAGTTGTCTCCAAAAAGGATACTATATGAAACTTTACAGGAGTGAAGAAATGGATTTATGACACCATGAAAAATAATGTGCTATTTTAAAGCATAGTAATCTTTCTCTTTCTTCTTGAGTATGTATTACAAAATGAGACAAGCTTCTGTATTTTATTTTTGGAATACTCTTAAAGGAAACTGCTCAGCAGTCCAGCTGCGTTTTTCTCATACTGGGTGTCATTATTTTTAATGTGAAGGGTTTTTTTTAATAGTAGTCAGTTGAAACAAACTGAATTGCAAAGTTATCAGTCAAATCACGTGCCCAACCAAACATTTACTATTCCTGGCATCTTTGGTCAGCTATGTTTCATTTGTTGTATACTGTCATTTGTGGTTCTGGTTTCCTTCCAGACTGTTAAGAGGACTTGTGGGTAGCCAGTGCTTATTAGTGTTTTCACCCTTGTTATCTTTATATTTTAAGCCATTGAATCTGTACTTCAGTACTTGGTAAGTTAATAGAAAGTGCTCTGAAGGTTCTGTAGAATAATGTGATAATTTAGGGACAAAAAATTCAGCGTACCATTGTAAAGATAAATAGCATCTTACCTCTCCAGGCTATTAGAATGTAAAACCTAACAGAATCTGTTACAGGTTCATTTATGTGAACTTTTGGCAAACTTTTGGCAAAATTCCTCACAAGACAGTTGAAAAATAAATCACTGAGTAAGAGGACAAACTATACTAGTTTAAAATTTCCCCCAAGAAAGAATTAAAAGATATAAATGATCAGTTAACATTGTGGAAAAATACACTTCTGTTGCATATCCAGGTAAAACTGCTAGTGTAATCTTGCAATAGAGGTGGAGATACGGGAATTACTGCAGAGACGATTTAACAAAAAATCATGATCTATTTTAAAAAAAAAAAAAAACACAAAACCAAACCACAACCCCAAACCAAAAAACCCTATTGATTAGAAAGTTACAGAAGAGAGTAAAAGGTGGTTTTGGACATACTGAAAACTCTCATTTAGATGAAGTTTTTTTTCTCTGCATCATTCCCCTTGTGCGTTGCAGTCCTCTCCTTTGCTGTATGGTCTTCTCTTACACTCTGTGCCTGTCTCTGCCGGGGGTGCTGTGCCCTGTCCCCTCTCGCCATCAGTGATCCTTTTTTCCATGCCACCCGCTCCCCTAACCAGCCACTGGTCCCCAAAAGGTGGATGCTGACACAGTGTTTCTTGCAACCACTTTATTTCCCTAAGTGTCATGCACACTGAGATCAACAATTGGAGTTACTTGGAAGCACTAGTAAGAGAGAAAGCTTCTTGGTATGAACCTTTTGAAGTTAAAATTAGTCTTTTGCCAATAGTATTTAGTTCTTTGAGTTAATGGAAGAAAAAAGCAATCTTTTATTATGAGGGATCATAGTTTCCCAATGCCAGAAAACTGTTATGTGGTGTATTCATGAGCAGCAGCATAAGTTCTAGCTTATTAGTGCTACGGGTGTAGTACTACATATTTATTCCTAATTTGGGCTCTGTCTAGGAGAAATTATCCATGGGGAAGGTCAGCCTGATGAACAAGGCCAAAAATAAAAGCTGTGTGCCAGGGAGTTGCAGAGCTGCCTGGGAGATGAGAGTTCATGTTCTTGACCCAGCCTGTGCAATACAGTCTTTAGGATCAGTCTTACCTCTTTTTCCATGTTGAAATACACTGACTCTTTTTGTTAGTTGGTATATTAAATCTGAGTTCTCTTTTCTTACTGGAAATTAAGGTAGAAGGAAAGCAGAACACAGGTGGTTAAATTCCGAATCCCCCTAAATGCTGCTTACACTGGGACTGAATAAGAGTAAACAAGAATTACGATTTGTCTGGAGCAGTGGACCACATGGAGATCTAGAAACTAATTTTATTTGTTACCCTTGCTGCCAGTTTTGTTTTATCATTTATCAAGGAAGAAGCCTTCAGTGAGTGCTTAATGAACTGGTACGTTAGTGAGATGCAGCCCAGCTAGGGAAGCGCTCTTAGGGAACACTGAGGAGCATTCCTCGAAGTCTGATTGCATTTGCTGTGTGTGTAGTCTATGGCAGCTTCTGAAAAAAGAAGCAGGATTTGCCCATATGAAGCTGGTTCCATGAGAAGAAATCCTTCATAGAAGGAGAGGGATGAGTTTTGTGGAACAACAATGACAGGATGAGTAACAAGTGTTTATTTAGATGGCTTTTTTTAGTATTCGTTAAATCGTAAGTGGTTAGCTGTGGGTTTCTAGAAATGACTTTACTATTACTGTATGGAAAAATATCTTTAGTCTAATAGACAACAGCCAGTATGCATTTTTTTATTATTATTTTTTGTGACAGGCGAACGTAACACTAGGTTTGAGACATTCTCCTTTCAACATGCAGAACCAGAATCCCATAGCAGTTTTGCTGCCGTGACCAATGTCAATGCGACATCTAGGCCCACTCACAGCACTTCATCACAGGTAAACCAAAAATGTATCACTGTCTTAACTGAAATATCAACAGAGTTGTGCAAATTAATAATCCAAAACACATGCCTTTTACATCTAATCTAGTGTTAAATTACAGTACAGAGCATTTTTACAGTGAATTAAGTGGATTACATTAAGTTATTCCAAAGTGAGTATGTGGTGTTCCTAAAACGGATACTTCCTTCTAAAAGAATTTTGCAGATCATATAACTGGAGTGTAAGTTTAGTTTATTGGTGTTGGGCCTTTCTTTTTTTTTTTTTCCCAAATTTCATTAAATATACTGTGATTTATGTTCCCAGTTTTACACAAGGGCTCTTATGACCCTTTTTTCTTGGTGCAGCTACGTAACATGGCTTCACGGTGCAAATATAGTCACAGAATTTGTTAACTCTCAGCTTCACTATTTAAAACCTTTTGTGCAAAACTACAGGCAAAGTCTCTGGTATATAAATTTGCTGAGGAGCAGCACAGCTCTGGTTCAGTGAAGTCCCTGCAGAAACACACTTTGTTTTATTGGAATTTATTGAGAATTTCATAATAATATTCAGATTTCAGTCCCACGGTTCTGCTAAGCCTAGTGGTATACTGGTGCTCTGTAAGTCGTCATGTTTCAATCTGGTGATGACTCCTGGAGAGCTGAGTTTAAATCTGCGTCCTCAACAGTTTTGACAATGCACACTCCCTTTTTTCCCTTGCTTGAGCAGATCATTGTCAAAGAACAACTAAATGAGCATTTTAGAATAGACTGCTTCCATCAACGTTCAGCTAAAAACTGAGATCTTGAAATATGGAATGTATCATGATTTAAAACTAAACTTTCTCCTGTAATCTAGGAACTTCAGTTTTTGACCCAGTAGGTTCCATGCACTAGTGGGCAGAGAATACCACCAGGAATCCTACTATGATCACGACAAAGAAATTCAGTTTGTCTTTTGCACATCTTTCAGAAAACCACTTTCCATGTAGGCTGTTCTTCACTGCTAAATGTAGCTTCATTCTTTTGGAATTCATAATTGTATCACACAAGAACCACTTGGGTTACAGGTTAGTAGATAAGATTATAGAAGGTCATCTTTGTAGACTGAACATTATGAAGAAGGCAGCATTAACTTCAAAGTTCTCATAAGTATTCAGAATTAACTGTAACTGAAATCAAGGAAGGGAAGCTCCCACCTGATTTCAGTAAGAGTTATGCCAGCAAGAACTAAATCTCAGAGATGAGATAGTTTTAAGATTTGTTGATTCCATTGGAGTGGAGGGAAGTCAGAAGTCATTAGGCCACTAGAAAATGTGTTCAAGTTACAAGACTTTCTCCTCATGCAGTTCTAATGTTTCTCAGCTAACATGTAGTTCGTATGATTTGAGCTGATGAATCTCCTCTTGTATTGATTATATTATGCAGCATAACTCCAGGAGGAGATTGAGAAGTGAGAGCTCCTATGATATAGACAACATTGTTATTCCAATGTCACTGGTGGCACCATCAAAGTTGGAGAAACTACAGTACAAAGAAATCCTTACCCCAAGGTTTGTTCATGACCTCCTTAGTTGCAAAGAAGATACCAAAATGAACATGAGAACGTTAACTAAGAATATTGTTAACATGTAGTTAGATAATTTTATAATATTAAGATGATCTTTTCATGTGCTCGGGTGTTTTTTTTCTGTGCACTTCAATTTGTGTGACTGGAGTGGTGGGAAGACTGGACAGCTGATAGCACAAGGGAAATAGTCTGATACACACAGGGAGGTGACAGATGCACAGACTGGCTGAAAATAGAAGTGGGTTTATATCATCTTAATTGTAGTGATATTCGTGGCCTTAAATGTGCCATTAGGCTGACATGCTCTGAACGGTTATTTGGTGGTTGTTCTTTTTTGTGTGTTATGGTTCATAAGAAAATAGTTAACTATTTTCAGTGAATTAAACAGAACTGGTTTTAGTATATATTTTTAAAATTTATCCATTCTGATACAGTAGAATAAGCTTAACTTTTTCAATACAGTGTAAACCTATAATCCATGATTCTAGAGACATCTTTTTTTTTTTCCCCCTAAGAAAAAGAACATCTTTAGATTGCTAAAACAGGGTAATTGATCTCCTGTGCTGTAATTCAGTGGCCTACTAGCAAATTGCCTGAAATAGCTAAATGCAATTGTTCCATATTTTAAATCTCTAGTGTGTATTTGCTTTTATATTGTCTTTAAAGCTAAAAATATTATTAAGACTCTATTGGATAGCTTAAAGACTGTGTTGGGAAAAGGAAAGGTTACATATTGGGTTGGGAAAGGAAAATCTAAATTTCGGGCATCTGTTATCAGCACCTTAAATTTGAAATTATTTTATTTGAAAGAAATTTTGAAGCACAACCAGTGTTGAAGAAGGAATAACTAACAATGTAATGAAACAGCATTTAGGTAAATTAATTTGACTTTCCTTGTCTCATTTCTAGCTGGAGAGTTGTTGAATTTCAACCTTTAGAAAGATCTCATGCAGATGAAGAAGAGGTAGGCTGAATTTAATTAAACTACCAGTTTTTAATTAAACTAGACATAATATATAATTGGGATAATCGGTATATATTTTCCAAAGTCACTGACTTCATGCAAATCCTGGTAAGTTTCAAATTTCAAAAATAAAGTATTACGTATCGGATTGTGAAAATGTGTCTTATCCCAACCTACTCGACCCTATCGTAGATGACAGAAATGTGAGTATGTCCATTAATAATCATTGTTCACTTGTTCGTTTGGCTCTTCTGTCCCTTGCTGTCGGCACAGTCAGCGCTCCCAAAAGGACCCTTTGGTCAGGCCTCCGCCTTCCCTGCTCCTGGGCGCTGTGATGCTGGGTCTCCCAGCATGACTGTCTCTTCGGGGCTACCTGTGCTATAATGTCTGTCCTCTCTCATGCTCTTCTTTCACGGCCAGTTCCCATAGCCTGTTGCTCTTCAGGAGGTAATTTGGCGTTTTGCCTGTGGGCCCAGCAGGTTTCCTCAGTTTTCTTCCCAGGGTTCATTTTCCTGCAACCCTCCTGTTGGGAGCAACTTTTCTTCTTTCTGCTTTGTCAGGAACAACGTAACCTTCAGCATTTCCTGCTTGCCTGTTGAGCTAAGTTTGTACATCATGTGCTACTGTTGCTTCCTCCAGACATAAGAATCTACCTTTTTCTTCCAGGGAATGTCTGTAGAGTTTGCAGCTGCAGGTTCCTTTCTCCCCTAATCAGGGGTTCAAGGCATTTCCTAACCCCAGTGTGAACGTACCACCAGGTCTGGTCTCTAGGCTGGTTTTCTGTCCTTCCAATATTTTTGTGGCTCCTTTTCCACAAACCTGCCAGTTTTGCTGTCCGTTGGACATCTCTAGTCTCCCTCCGGTCTCTGCTATAGGCCACTATCAACTGTTGTAATGTAGGACTTGTATTCCTACCTTCATCCACAATATCTGTTCTCGAGCTCCTTTTTCAGAGAACCTCTACAACTGGGGTTTAAGTGCCTTAGTAGTAGCAAAAGATTTGCATTTGGGTAGCAGTACAGAAGGTTATGCTAAACACAGTAAACAAATCATTATGCCACTCACTTGGCGTAGAAAATACACTCTCCACAAAGGCACTAGCTTCCTCGGAGTTTTACTAGGTCTGTAGCTGCCTGCTCCATGGAAACAAACCTTCCCTTTAGGAGAGCATCATGGACTCAGCTCCCTACCTGGTGTGGTTGCACTTATTTGGCACCATACTCTTGGGTTGGAAGGAAGAGAAAAACTTAACTCTGTCCCTGCCTTTTTGCATGCACTTGAGAAATTCTTGTGAAATCGCGTAGTCAGATTTATGTCAGCTCCACCACCGCCTTTTGGTTTGGTACAGTCTCTGCTACCAGGAAACATGCCTGATCTTCTTTTGTAGTGAGGTGGTCAAATTACATACACAGGAGAACTCTCCTGCGAGGATATTTAATTAAACTATTTGGAGAATAACTAATAAGGCAGCAAGGGCACACTGTCCCTTGAGAATGTACTATTCATTGCTCTCTCTCCATCCTGGTATCTGTGGGGGGAAAAAAAAAAAGAATTTCAACAGTGATTTGTCTTCAGGGTTTCAAGAGACTTGCTTGGAGGACTCTGGATTTCTTGTTTAGATTTCAGATCCCATACAGATGACTTGTCTCACATACTTTCAGCGTATTTTGCTGAATGGACTTTAAGGGTGTCTCTTTGTGAAGTTCATGGGCTAATCACTCGTTTAGTAGCCCTCCCGTTTAGTACGTTTGTATTTGGCATGACTAGTTGATCCTGTATGATTCATCCTTTGGCCAGGACATAACTTGAGTTAACAATAAAGCAGCTTTGCCTCCTGCTGTGGTCCACTGCTTCTGTATTGCCTGTCAGCTGCCGGGTAGAATGAGAGAAGAGAGATGTTGGACAAGAGAAAAATGCTAAAGATCTTGTTTGTCTAAATCATCCTTTGCCAATTTTCCCCCGTTCTTTTGGGATCGTATTAATTGGTTTGGATGTTTTTCAGAGTACTGAGAAAAGGTGGTTGTCTGATCATAATTCTTCTACTTCCTTGCTTTAGATTTTAGGCCAAGTTAGATTTGTTGCTGAGTAAGCTTGAAAAAAGACATGAGAAACCAGCAGCATTACCTTTTTGCGTTTTCTGCACTCACACTCTCTGACGCTCTTGAAATTGTTCCTTGTACTGAAATCAAAACTAGCTTCAGTAGATCATTTGTGAAGGACAAAAGAGGGCAAAATGTACTTTCTGCTTTTATATAAAGTAAGTTTTTTCTTTGCTTTCCACTGCATAGCAGCCTGTGGTGGTACTGTAATAGTTTCTTTTCTGCCTATCTTCTGCATGGCTAAATTTAAAACTTGTGGAGTTGTCCTTGTGTCAACCAGCAGTTAGGGACTTCTACTTGATGTCTTCCCCCCGCCCCTTCTCTCTCCCCTTCATTTGAAGGCTTTCAATGCAACAACCTGTATCCATGCAGTAGACTTGCACACAAAGTTTCCACAAGTTACAAAAAAATGTGGGGTCCCAAATTTGTCATGTTCCACAGGAGCCACGCTTCCAAGGACGGGAACTCAGCACTTTCTGAAAATCAGGCCTATTCACCGTGCCTTTGTTTGAGTACAAAAAGCTTACCTTTTTGGGTGCCTAATTTTTGTTTCTGGAAACTTTGCCTTACAAGGACAAACATAACAGTTGGGCAATGCAAAAGTTAATCTACTATCTATGTCTGCTCTATAACTTGCTCTAAAAATACTTAGTTTTTGGAAATAGAGCATTTGAGTTTCCTGATTTGCATGTATGAATTTGCAGTCTGTTATTGCTTTAAGGCATGGGAGGGTGTGGCACGGGTTTTCCTGTTTTATTTTGTTTTTAATTTGTTTTGTCCAGATTAAAGTTTCTGGCAAGGCATGGTTGTAAAGTAATGTTCAAGTTTATTTTGTAGTTGTTTTAGTAATGACAAATACTTTGGAATAATTCGGTGGGTAATTAGTTTTGCATAAGTGTTTTCATGGCTTATGACTCAGTGTTTCCCGTGAAGCCAAACACTGAAACACAGACTTTGTTGTTTTGAGAACCTTTCAGAAATATTCCTGGTGCTATTCAACATTAATGCACAGTGTCTTGTAGCTTAACTAGATGTGATGGGGGGCGATCCAAATCTTAGTTTGTTTTAAGTCTTTTTCTTTGAGTGAAATCATTAGACATGCCTCACAAACAGGCCTTCCTAATAGTCTTTTCTCTCAACATCACTGCCAGATCCATCCACTGAGGAATGACAGTTCTTTTGTCCTCTTTCAAACTAACCTTAGTGGTGGAAAAAAAAATATCAAATTTCTCCAGTTATAGCAGCTTTAAATTAACCTAAAGTTGGTCGAGGAAATATATAAAGTGTTACAAAGCTGGAGAGGGGCAGAGGCTGTACTGAACCAAGTAGAGACCTTTTACTCTGATGTAATGTGATTTTATCCGTAGAAAAAAGAATAATTTTTAAATAAGAAAATGTATTACTTGTTAGTCTTCAATGGAATAGGGTAAAATTCATTTAAAATAAACAAGTAGTTAAATCTGCTATCATCAGCTATGGAAAAGGAACAGTAAGGCTTATTTCTGTATTTTTCAAAACTCTTCGCTTGGAGTGGAATGTGGACTTTGATTTTTTTAAAGGAAGCTTGTTAAAAATGAAGTTTCTTCCCAGCATGAAAAGTTTTGGCAATTTGCTAAGAAAAGTATTTTCAAAGTCTAGGTTTTTCTTTCAAAATTATCTTTTGTTTCCACTTCAAAGGAAATCTGAGCACACAGAAAAATCCTGAATTTTCCCTGAGGGAATAGCACTTTTGTAGTTCATAAAATTCTCACTTTCACGCTATACATCATTGACCTTGGAAAGACAGAATCTGAACTGAGATGCAGCCCTGCACCAATGCCATCCAAGTGACAGAGCTGGTGAATTCCAGAGAGAGGAGGAAACACATTAAGTTGGCTTGCATGAAAGGAAACCAGCAGCTAACAAAGTGGTTTGTGTTTAACATAAATAAATAAAAGCAATGAGGAGTCTTCAAAAAGCAGTCATGAGATGGGCAAACAAAGCAGGCCTGTTTGTCTGAAGGTTCCTGTTGAGTGCTGGGCTGAGGAGGAACCGGGCAGCTACAGTTTTAGGAAGCAGGTCGTGTGGCTGTTTCAGACCGCACTGAAGTCTTTGGGATCCTTTTCACTGGCCCAGTTGAGTTTCATTGTGGGGCTGTAGTTCACGACCAGCCGCCTAGGTTGGAAATGTGTGCTCTGGCAAGCTGAGTGCCACTACCAGGTATGCTTACAGCAGCATAAATGCATTGTAATACTTTGCATTTGTACACAAAATGGTCATGAACTACCTCAGTGCTGCAAGACTTGATACAAAGAATGGCTTCTGCAGAAAACCTCAGGGCTGTTAGTTGTCTGGAGTGGAGTACTTCCAGCTGACAATGTAACCTATATTGTATGGCTCTATCTGGCACTGCAGTGAGGACTCTCTGTTTAGTTCTGTATTTTATCAGACTCGGTCAGAAGATAAATGGTGTTACTTGTATAAGACCGCTGAGGATTTTGCTTCATAGACAAAGTTTAATTTATTTTCCATGACCCCCTGATTATTGGTATAATTCTTGTCCAGGTCTGCTTCACAGCTTCTATGACCAGGAACTGTTCTTTCCTAGAATTTCTCTGCTTTTGAGTTGGGAGCGGCTGGCATAAAAATCCATGGCTGCAGCATTCATGCTCTCGCCAACCTTAGCTTTTTAGGTGAACTTTGAAGAGGTTGAATGGTTTGGAGCACTTTGAAATAACCCTGAGCTGTGCTGGAGGGGTCCAGCCAAGAGCTCGCCCAGCCATCTGGGGAGTGAGGGGGAAGGGCAGCAAAGTGCTCCTCGCCCAGCCGTGTCTAAGGAGCAAACTTCTGGTGTGCTGCCAATGGAAAAAAGAAGATGGCTCTTTCAAAGTGAAGGTCAGATGTGATAGCTACAGCTGAGGAGTTTTACCTAAAAAGCTGGCTCTTGTTTGACTACGAGCAGTTAAAGTACCCACATTAGGGCTGTTTTTAAGCTGTACCGGGGTCGTGCAAATCACTTGCTAAGAAATAGTCTCTTCAAAGCAGAAACCATTTTCTGCTTGGTTTCGTACCAGGAATGCGGCACCTCAGGTTTGCTGAGTTCCTCTCAAAGTGGAGCTATCAAAGTCCTTGGTGATCTCAGACCTATTTCTCTGTGCTTAAAGAGCACCTGGCAAATCCTGCTGCCTCCCAGCCTCCTCCTAAAGCAGTCTCTGAAAACTCCTGGAATTTTTGCTTGTCTTTATTATGTGCTTTTTAGTACTGCCTTGATTTGCAAATGAATACTTGTCCTCTTAATTTTCTGCCTCCCACCATAGAGAAAAATGTGTTAGTTGCATGGGGGGTATAATTTCTATATCCATTCAGATCAACCACAGACATGTAAAGAAATAAAGTGAAAGTGACAGCACCCCATATACTAGAGCTCTAGTGAGAGTGTAAGCTGAATACATGTATTTTGATGTGCCTTTATACTGCAAGCATATGTTGTGTTGCGTCCTCTTGTTTGAACAGACCTTTGCAGAATTTTATATAATATTGGCTGCCTTTGTTTCTAGTGATGTTCATAATTACAGCAGCAGCTATCCCTGTATTTCGTTACAGATAGAAGATCTGTCAGATGAAGTTTTTTCCTTACGTCATACAAAGTATGAAAAAAGAGAGAGAGCACGGTGGTCGCTGTGGGAGCAGAGCCGCTGGCCCAGAAGGAATAGCAGGCAGGTGTATTGACTTGGAAAGAGCGTTCCTATTGAACCACTGGTGTAGGCTGTCGGTGCAGCGGTTTCAGAAATGCTGTCACAGTGGACTTTGAAAATGAGGGCACTCCTCATTAATTAACTCGTCAGGGACAGTACCGGGTATGTTTGGTTTTGTGGCTGGAAAGGGAAGGCCGTGCAGTTCTGAAGCATGCATACTTACAGAAATTTGGCATGTTAGTGACCTGGTATTAGTGAATAAAAATCTTACCCCCATACTGAACACAGCTCTGCTAGTTTGTGCCTCTCCCAGTTACTCTGACTTTAGCCACCGACTGTAACATGAGCCCTTCTTCACTCACCTGACTTAGATGAAAGTCCACTGCATTCAGAGATGTGTTATTGAAGGGTCCTGAGCTGTGCCAGGGACCTTATGCTTAAAAAAAGTCATTGTGTGAAAAAGTTTAATTATCACAGACTTGTTGTCTGGTGCAAAACTCATCAGAATTAAATATAACCCCTAAAAGTCCTGCAAAAAGTAGTGCGTGTAAGAGCAAACATCATAAAGCTGTATCTGCAATTTGGCTCTGGGAAAGTGATTCCCATAAATAACTTCAGAATCTGCCAGGACAAAAAACATCCTATAAATGCTGGGATAACTTTTTCTGCTATTTATCATATGCTTGTGTCTACTCTTGGCTGAAAGTGAACCATGACACTGAATATATATGCAAAGATAACTTTTTTTAATGCAGGATAAAATTAGAGCTAAACCGTATTAAGGAATTACATTTTAAGCCATTTTGAACATAAAAAAAACTTTAGAAGGTGTACTGAAAAATACAAGTTCTATATGTACCCTTAATTTTGAAACTCTATGAACTTCTTGGTGAAATCTTAGTGCTATTTGAATTCAGAAGTAAAACTACTGTTGACATGAGCAATGTCAGACTTCCACCTGGCATTTAAGATGTGTGCCAGTATTTTACATCTAGTTCAAATTTGCGTTAAAGGCAAGGTCAACATTTTTAATCTTACTAAATTATTTTGACTGCTTTGGAGATGAGTCCAGAGCAGAGGAGGGGAGGGGGAGCCCAAGGACCTGCTGTTTCTTCTCGAGTTACATTGGCACAGTCTGCTGACAGTGCAGTGTGGACTCCGCAGGCTCCTGTGAATGATGCCGTGTTCACCCGCGTGGGAACAGCCCACGGCTCACTGATTTCTGTCCAAAATTACCGTTCTGGTGATCGTGTGGAGCAAGCCGCAGGAGTGGGACCAGCCACCAGCTGTTCTGCAGCCAGAGTGTGCCTGTTCCAGCCCTGTTTTATCCAGTTAGCTCCTCCACATAGCACTCTTTTGCTTTGGCTTGTGACAATGAGGGTGTCAAGAACCATGTGTGTTTTCATCTGCTCTTCTGATTTAAGTAAGTAGAGTGTAGGTAGCATGTATGGAGAAACTGAACACTTTGAAAAGAAAATCTAAACTGTGCCTGGTGATGTGAAAGGGCAGGTCGTAAGACTCTCTTATCCTGCTCTAGATCTTACAGCAAAAATGCTGACGGACGACACAGCCAAGATTCGGTGCAGAAAGACCACCACGGCAGCTCCTGTGCCTCGCTGCATTGCGCTGCTGAACCTGTTCCTGACTTGACTTCGGAAGCCCACAGCTCTGTTTGTTCAGGGATTGCACAACTCTGCAGGGAGAGCCAGGAAGCGAAGGTGGGTGATTCCAATAGCTTCCGGGTCTGGTCAGGTCTTCAGTGACCACTGTCTCTAACCTAAAACAAAGAACGTGAACATATCCTCCTGTCTCACTGATCAGAATCTCAGGCTGTCGCCCTAGTTAACGTAGACTGAATGTAGCACTCCTGTTTAGAACTAGATTGCTATGCTTTATGAATTAAGCCCAGGATTTATCAACAGGTAAAAATTTCATTGCTCAGCACACACGGCACATGTTTTAGAGGCGAGTATGGCAGGCCTCGGTTCAGGGATGATGGATCCTTTCTCAGGGATGTTGGCCAGGGTTCCAGATGGGGCTGATCGTTATGGGGTCAGGTATCCTGATGGTCTAGCACCATGGAAAAGAGCTTCCCCCTTCCTGTACTGTGCCTGTTCAACGGTAGCTCTGGTACTAGTTCAAAACTGTATGAAGCCAGCCTACATTGACAGCTGGTGCCTAGCATTGTCGTATTCTTTATCTGAAAAGCCCTGCAAACATTGTAAAGACAGACACTCATTTGCTATTTGATAGCAGATCATTCTGCACATAGCTAATCGGTTCAGACTCAACTGAAATCCTTTTTCCCTTCTTCTCTCTTTTTCCACCCTCACTCCTACCCTTCTGATTCCTTTCAGTCTGGGCTGTGGGAACTTCGAGTTTTTCCACTAAAAGATGAAGAGGTAGAAGCTTTACTGTGCCAAGATCAAATAACGAATCAGACTGAAATGTCAAGTGCAGCTTTTCCCAGCGACTCTCTCTGTACTTCATGCACACCCATTGGTTCGCCAGACAATGGCCATCCACCAAGAAAACAATCTACCGAAGAGTCAGAAGACTGCGAAAATGTTTGCCTGGGAATCAACAGTACAAGAAAACAAAGGTGACAGGGAATAATGTGGTTCATTAAGAAAGCCAATTAAGGTGGAGAAAAGTGTAAGGTAAAATCTCTCTTGTTCACACAGCATATGACAGCACAATTCGAAACCTGTATGTTAGCTGCATATAATATATTTTCTTTCTTGCTTTGTAACAGGCAGGATAAATCCCAAAGACAACACTTTCTTCTTCCTGAACCCCAAGAGAAAGTAATTATTTCAAGCTGGAAGTCTAATATTCCCAGTGTCGGGAGTGGGCGCGCATAAATTGCTGGCACCATTCACTTTCTGTTGTCATATTGCCACATTTGTTAATAATCATCCTTTTCTGTTTTGTTTGTTTTCAAATGCATTTCTGGTTCTAGTGGATTTTGGTGCAGCAGGATATGCTGTCTACCTTAACCAACAACTTCAACTGAACACAGAAAAACTACTTGGAAAAATGGTAGGGAAAAGCGATAGCCTCAGATTATTTTCCTGTGTGGCATGACCATGGGGCAAAAATCTGCCTCTCTAAATGCATGTGTGTAACCCATGCGTAAGATAAGGGTAAGTGAGAACCAGCAGTTTCAAAGCAGGCGTTTTGGAAGCCTTGCATCTAGCTTAAAATCTGTACTCAGCTCTCAGTAGTGCCAGGGCATGTTTCATATAGGTGTCCTCAAGCAGTAAGATAGAAGTAGACCATTGCATTTCAATAGTCGATATATCTGCTACTCAGAAAGTAGGGTTTCTGCTTCAGTCATGTGGGTATAGGGAAATGGAAGGAAAGAGGAGTAGAGTCAAATCAGTGGCGCAGCTCTTTGAATATTGTGGTTTGGGTCATTTACTTCCTTCGTCCTTCAGTAGCTAATGAGGCTCATAATATTTTGCTTTAATATGTTAAAAGACAAAGTCTTGTCCAAATTTCTGTACAGTGCCTTGTAAGAGTCTCGTAAGTATGCCAACATTTGGTGACTAGCTGAAAAGGAAAAGGTGATTGATGTCTAGAAGACCAATAAAGAAGAAAGTCCCAAAGCTTTCCATTGTGATTCCAGATAGATTTTTAATTTCCCAGCGAGTTCACAGTGAGGAAACAAAAGCAAGTTGTTTAAACTTGCATCTAAATAGCATAGTTTGGAATGTATCTGCAATCTCAAGAGGTATTAACAAAGATTAAACATTGAACGTAGGTATAATTCATCAACAGGAAGTTTTTCTGTGTAGGACAGTTGAAGGCAATTTTATAGGAGTCTCTGTTTTTGTGCAAAATTTTCTTCCACGTGTAATATCTGGAATGGCACTGGACAGATGACCCAGTTTTAGCATCAATTTTTTTTTTTTTAGTCAAAACGACAGGAATTATACACTGGGCATCTGAAAACAGTTCAGTAAAGTTTCAACACTACAGCCTATTGCTACATTGTAGTTTATTGCACATTCTGATTATTTTTTTAAACACTTTTTTAACACTGGTTTGTCTTAAACTTGAATCTTGCCTCAATGTCTGATACAATAATCTTTGATGCAAGGTTGGTTTTTTAATTAAAAGTTATTTCTATATATGTTGTATATAGTCTGAATTTGATGGCCTTTTAGAAGTGAAGAAATGGCAGCAATGCTCCCTCTTGGCACAGAGACCTGCTTGGCCCAAGAATGGATCTGCAAACACACTGAAGTGGCAGCGGCACTAAGCTTTGCTGTCGTACTGAAGCTGCGCTGGTGCTGTGAGGCTAAGGTTCCCCCCAGCATCTGAATACAGAGGTGGATTTTTCCATCTCTTGTCCTGCATGTGCACCTGCTGCTGGGAAAAGGTTTCTGAAAGTTTTATGTCTCAAATGCTTTGCAGGTCTTTTCCACACCCGTATCCATTCATTAAGATGTCTGATCTGACCAGCTCTCACCCAGCTTTGTTGTAAGGTCAAGGCTTCCTGCTCTGTCTGATCCCTGGGGCAGTGTGAGGAGTTTCTGCAATTTAAGAGATGGGACAGACCAAGTAAACCAGCTGGCTAGCCGCCTTACATGTCCTGAAGGTGCTGTCAGGAAATGGAAATGCAATCCGGCATTTTACAGGAAGGAGCAAGAGGAGAGTGTTTTTCTAGATTGGGGGGTGGGAAGGGAAGGATTTTAAAATGAGGCTAAAAAAACCTGTGCGAAAGGAGCTGGATTAACCAAGTTTGGTCAGCCTGGTGGACTGTGAAGCTGTTTCTGCACTGATGTTCAGTTCCCAGCTGTGGTGTCCTGTTGAACCACTGTGTTGCTTTTGGGCCAGTCTCCAGTGTGCTGGCCTGAAGCAGCTACTTGTTACCTTGCCAGCTGCAGGGGCTGCACAAGTGGTTATTGATAAAAGCAAGGGTAAGCACATTTTCTTTGTCCCCTCTTTAGATGTTCTTGTCAGCCATTGTGGGAATCACCTAGTGCCTCACAAGGCAGCAATAAAAAGACTAGCCAAAGAAAGGCCGGGCACCCTGGAGACTGAAAAAAAAATCCCTGGAGAAACTATAAAAATGTCTATTTGGTCATATCCCCACCCCACCACCATCAGAAGTCTTTTCTCTTAACATCTGCCTCTCAGCTGGCTAGACCTGTGACAGCAAACTGCAACTGCCTTCACATGAAGAGCTGCCTGAGCGACTGCACAGCCAGAGAACTGTGCCAGAGCATTTCTTCCTCCCCATGCCTCTGCCATGGTGCTGCTCTCCAAGTGTTAGTGGTGCGCAGGTTTCTGCCATCAGGTGAGCAGCACATGCAAGTGTGGCAAAGGCCAGCAGGGAGGGGTAACCAAGAACAGGCTGCATTTGCTTTTCTCATGTTGCCTGCCTACCTCCAGCAGCCCTTCATCTGGCAGGGGCAGATGGGGAACGCTGTGTGCGCATGTCAAGCGAGATGCTTTTTGCGAAGCCCCAGGCTGCCCCTCACCCACAGCACCTCTAATCATATGCCACCTTCTTGTAGCAGACCAGGTGCTGTGCCCTGTCCTCGCTGTCTCTACTCTGCGTCTTTGCTCCAGCTGGCAAGGCACACAATTTTTCAGTAGCCCCATTTCCCTACTGGGACAAGGTTAGAAAACGCTTAACTGAACTTGGTCACAGGACCAGCCCTCTCCTTTCATTTTCCTTCCTTGTGCTGCATGCAGCTGGATCAGCACTAGTACTCTCGTTTATTGCCTGCAGCCCTTTTCCCTGCAGAGCTGGACTCCCACCTCCAGACGGTTTTTGCATTGGGGTCGTGAGGAAGCTGCTGGTGGTGGGAGTGAGCTCAGAGCCAGGCTCATGCTTGAAGCCATAAAATGTGTAAGAAACCCCTGCTTGTTTTCTTTTCTTTTCAAAGTTTTAAACAACAGGAAAAAAACCCCAAACCCAACCTGTTTGTCTTTTGGCTGTTAAGCTATGAAAACAGCTGTCAGTGCTGCTCCTAATGTTGTGGCTGAAGGTATTACAAAGGCTGACTGTGAAATACCAACTTAAACATAATGCAGCATGGTCCCCTACGCATGAAACTGGGGTGTTGCAGCTTCACAAAGAAAGTAATTTCCCTTGCGCTTTGTTTACCATTTTCAGTTGAGGCATTTTTTTAAGGCCACTTATGTTCTGCTCCCTGCTGCTATGAGGGTTTAAACGCTTCATCGCTGCATCCAGGACCTTAATGGACTGTAAGTAAAAATACAAACTTCTAAGCCCTATTAAAATTAAGCTGTGTGTGTGTGTCTACTGCAGTTTTTTAATCTTGCTCAGGGATGTGCGCTGTACCACCCTGTGGCGCACACATCCAAGCCCAGCCTTACTCAGCTATATCACTTTCTTTTATCCTGTTGTCCATTGCAGACAGAGCCTTTGCTCTGTCAGATCACCCTGGACCGCTCTAGACCATGTGACTTAGTATCACCAGACTGTGCCCTCCCTTGTTGCTGAAACTTTGCTTTATCAGAGTATTGCAACATCTAACGGTCCTGGGGTTTATTTGGCCCTGCGGATACCATACCATTTTGGTTTTCATGTCAGTGTTCGGTTCAAGTCCTGCGGCTGTGGCGCTTCCACTGTGAGGTTATGTTACCGAGTACAGGAGGACAGGCCTAAATAGAGCCTAACAGATTACTTCTGTTAATGTATAAAGGCAAGAAAGTGGAACAGTCTTAAGATTAAGAGAACAAGTATCATTACTGTTACTTCCATGGATGCTCTGTGGTCACTAACAGATTTAACCTTAGATGTGTAAAAAGCTGCTGCAGTAGTAGCCAGCTGCATAAACCCACCTGGGTGGGATTTAGAGGGAAAGAAGCAATTGAGTAATTTTACTGTGTGTGTAATTTCTCTCCCCCATGACACTCCTAACCTGAGAGCCAATGGAAGTGCAAACTACCAGATTTAAAACAATGACAGTGATTACAACCTGTGAAAGAAAACATACCTATGGTTCCATGCTCAGAACAAAGCATAGTACCGTCAATTAACTAGCATGACTTTGGGACATCCTCGCCCCCCCAGTTAATTAGGAAAAAAAAAGAAGGCAGAAATAGTTTGATTACCCTTTCAAACCAGCTTAAGGTCAACTGCAGGAGGCAAAGATACTATAGTTGTCCTACTGCTTTCAATAGCGTGAAAAGCCACATTTCCAAATCCTAAACCAACATTTTCATAGTCCATTTGTGGCTGCTTGGCCTGCATTTTAGATACCAGAGCAGTGACTGTTTCTCTATGCGCACTGTATCAGACTCTACACAGGTTCCTTCCAGAAGTACGAATAAGCTGCTTTAACACATCTAACAGCCATCTGGCCTATTACCTTTCCTAGCCAAGCCTTCTTCTGGCAAACTTCTTCTGAAAGATGTCTTCAGTGCAGTAGGTCCAGATGACTCCATTTTTCTTTTGCTAGTTCTCAAATGGGGTTGCAAGTGGAAACAGGAAGCAAAGACATTTGTTCACCTAAACCACAATTAACCACACAGGAAAAAGTAGTTTAGCCATTTCAGACACTTGTCTAGATTGTCTGAACTAGCCCTAGCTCCTCCTACTGAACAACAGCAGTGACCCATGCTGTACCGCAGCTGCCTCCTTCCACAGCCACTGAGCGGAGACCTATGTGTGGGACACCTCACAGGTCCTGGGCTGAGAAGAAGGGGGTGCATCAGCTCTAGCACTGCCTCAGCATTTGGTAGGTGACGTGCCCAGCTTTGCTGCAAGGACAGCAGATTTGACTTTGGCCTTGTGGAAATGGACTGGCTGCAGCTGTTGAGCCTTCTGGCCTGTTCCCCTGGGGCAGCAGACTGTTTGCAACCCTTCTGTAATTACAATTTAAAGGGAAAAATACCATGCAGAATACCATGAAATATTAAACTAGTCAGCAATACTAATTAGAGCCATGGGAAGCAGGTCTATCTAAAATGACCTGCTCAGGCCTTCCTCTAGTGGGTTTTAACTCTCACCTCTCACATGCCCAAACAGGCCAGGCTGCAAAGTCGGCACAAGCAAACTGAAGGTATGAGAACTATTTGGCTTCACAACTAAGAGGAGCGTTAAGCTGTTTTACAGAGCCATCTCCATGCAGTGCATTTCCACTGAAATCACTTCCGTAGGTAACATTCCTGTATCTCGCTATCTATCTTAATCATTTACTCAGGCATATGTACAAACCAAGGAGGCTGTGGGTCAAGATAAAGTTTTTTAACCATCTGTCTGTAGGGTTTTAAAGCGATTCCATCACTTCCGGGAATTTCAGACACGGCTGTCTTAACTGGCTCTTTGAAAGGTAAATAAGAAGGTATTTTCCAGTTTGTGACCTGGTAAAGATGCTGCACTGACTTGTTTGATGCTTGTCTTATGTAGGTCAAGAACTTCTATGCAGTAAAAACAGAACACAGGAACATTTCTAGCATCCATGGGATTTTTTCGCCCTCTTAAACTCTGTTTTTCCCAAACTTACTCCCAAAACCACTCATTTTTGACAGTCAGCTTAAAAGAGACTTGCCACACCAAGGGAGGGGTGTTTAATGCAGATATTGGAAAAGTTTTGTAGGAATGCACAGATCAAATGACAAAATACAGACAGCAGAAGGCAGTTTGATTAGAGTCTTCCACAAGAGAGATTGCTTGTGGTGATGCTACACTCTTCTAGCAAGCAAAAAACTGACTGAAGTTTAGTTCAATCCAGTCAGCGTCACAGGTTGTGCCATCAAATCAGCCTCCACAGAATCAAGAGACAGGTTCAAACCATTGCATTTCCAACCCTGAAAGACAGCCAGAATGTTTTTCACTGCTGCTTGCTTCATTGTAGCGAAGGAATGATTCCCCTGTTCAGCAGCAGCAAGTTTCCGTAATTAATGTTCATCCAGCCCTCCCTTACGCACGAGAAACAAGGGTTCTCCTGCATGCACAGAGCCTTCTTGACCACTGCTTGGGTAGGTCTCATCGATCCAGACAGCGCTTTTGAGCTGCTTCTGAACACACATTCCTTAGAAGATTGATCACAGATCTTGGATCTGCGCTCTTCATAATAGCACTGCCAGATACAATCATATTTGCACCTGCCTGAAAGACATTAAACACCCACTCAATAACACGGAACAGATTCACTTCTTAAAGCGTTTTCTTGCTGTAAAACACGTAAGGAGGTAGTGAATTCTAGGCTGGTGGACAAACAAGCGCTATTTGTGGGACACAGGTAACATACCTCTAACTACAACCACAAATCAAGTTCAGAAAAGACAGCTCTTCCCCAAATAGGCAATCTCTTCAT